CTCCCTCGTGAGGTGCTGTAGTGAATAGCTTCAGTCACCAAGAAACTGCAAAGCATTATTGAATAACCAGTTTTGTATTCAAAGTGAGTGTCAGAATTGTATATATTTATACAAGTTGCCACGGCAGCGTGCACCACTTGTCACGGTTCTTAAATTAGATTTTTCCTCATTTTTGTTACAAGATTTCATCTTCCTACCTATTAATAATGCCTAAATGCAATTTAGTTTCCAAGTCTACCATGTAATGCAGCTTGACTCATCAACTCCCAGTGTGGAGGTGAAAGTCTTACCCAGAAATGGATTAATAAATAGTTTTTACTACTTGTCACTGTATTTTTCATTGTCTTTCTTTCATTATATTTTATTGTCACAAATAGACTCAAATATAATGAGAGCAGAACTTGTTTTTATTTTCTTCAACAGTGATGATGTCCAGTTCCTCTTAGGTTCCCGTATATATAATTCCCAAGACGGCAACTCATTCAATTTAGGAAGGATTGGTCTTATTCAAATTTATATTTTTTGTTTTTTTTTTTAGGCGAGGGGTTCCATGTCGTGGGAGCATACTTAAGAGTGGGTGTCACACTTGCATAATAAAGTCATATAGGTTGTAAATGGAGGTCGGAATTGTCTTCGTGAATGTACTCACCGAGTAAACATATCACCCAGCTAAAGCTGCATCAGTCCACTTGCCAGCTTACCTGAAAGAAAATGAAATAAAAATTTAATTGTTTTATTCAATAAAATGCCAATCACAGACTTATACCTAAACGCTATATAATATAGGGGAGTGACCGCACTACACATGTAGGTGGTTGTAGATGTTCAAACACTACAGTGAGTGAAATCCCGAAAGAGTAGTATGAAGCAACCTTGCAGTTGCCTTGCGATGATTTCGTGGCACAACGTCCCCGCTGCCCGGTCCTTGACCTGGTTGATACCTGGTTGATTGAGGACTGAGGACCACGCCTCCTCGTTGCTGGACTGGTCAGCCAGGCTGCTGGACGCGGCTACTCGCAGCCTGACAGAGTGTCAGCCTGGTTGATCAGGTATCCTTTGGAGATGTTTATCAAGTTCTCTCTTGAACACTGTGAGGGGTCGGCCAGTTATGCCCCTTATGTGTAGTGGAAGCGTGCTGAACAGTCTCGGGCCTCTGATGTTGATAGAGTTGTCTCTCAGAGTATTTGTAGTACCTCTGCTTTTCAACGGGAGTATTCTGCACATCCTGCCATGCCTCCTGGTCTCATATGGTGTTATTTCTGTGTGCAGGTTTGGGACCAGCCCCCTCTACTATTTTCCACGTGTAAATTATTATTTATCTCTCCCGCCTGCGCTCAAGAGAATACACATTTAGGCATTTTAGTCGGTCCCAGTAGTTTAGATGTTTTACTGAGTGGATTCTAGCAGTAAATAATCTCTGCACGCTCTCCAGGTCAGCAATTTCTCCAGCTTTGAAAGGTGCTGTCATTGTGCAGCAGTACTCCACTCTAGAGAGCACTAGCGTCTTGAAGAGCATCATCATCGGTATAGCATCTCTAGTGTGAAAGGTTCTTGTTATCCAACCTGTCATTTTTCTTGCATTTGTGACAGCTACTTTATTGCGTTCATTAAAAGGTAAGGTCTTCCTACATTAGTATACCTAGATCCTTTACATTGCCTTTTCGTTCTATGGTATGCTTGATACCTGCTTGATGGGGTTCTGGGAGTTCTTCTACTCTCCAAGCCCGGCCCGATGCCAGGCTTGACTTGTGAGAGCTTGGTCCACCAGGCTGTTGACTGGTGATTTGACTGCGTTTTGAACGTGGTTTCCATTTTTATATTTTAATTTTTCCGTAGCGCGGATCTACGCCCATAAAAATACCTGATTTACATCTGATTGGAGGTTAGCTGTGCCCTATATGTTGTCTACCGTGGACATCTTCATGAGAAAACTAGAAAAAAGTGCCGGACCCACCGGGCTGTGGTGGGTATGTGGGCCTGCGGGCCGCTCCAAGCAACAGCCTGGTGGACCAAACTCTCACAAGTCAAGTATGGCCTCGGGCCGGGCTTGGGGAGTAGAAGAACTCCCAGAACCCCATCAAGTGGGTATCATAAAAATCATACTGTCACCTGCAAAGAATGATACAGTACTATAGTTTATGCCTTGTCTATGTCCAATATGAGGATGAGAAAAGGTACTGGAGCAAGCACAGTACCCTGGGGGACTGAGCTGTTCACGGTTGATAATCCAGTATTTACTTTGACTATTACACACAGGGTTCTGTTAGCCAGGAAATTGTAGATCCATCTGTTGCGGTATCAACACCATTGCTGGAGTGAGGAGTGGCGATTTTAGCGTCACCTATAGACCTGCACTCCAACTCCAAGACAGCGCCACCTGTTGGTGGAGGTGTGGCATCTGTGAAAGGCTCCTTCTTCATACCTCAGGAGGCGAGGTCGATGATGATGATGATGATGACCTCTGGTGATGACGTAACGGTATCAATGCCATCCGATTATATTCCGCAGTTCCCCGGTGACAGATTGTTACCCTATGTTCTCCCTGTATATTTATAATCTGGTTAATGACTTATGTTCACAGAAGTGATGTGGAAAGTCTATTGTATTGTGGAAATCAGGTCACCTCCGGCAGTCCAGAACTCGTGACTTGTCTCCTGGCCACTTGTGAGGCCAAGTGGCCGCCGTCCGATGTAAGCAGGTTGTTAGCTGTGGCACTTGTGTAGTGTTGTGTGTGGACTGACGGACCCGGGATTTGGCCAAGAGGAGTTACAAGACGGCAGTAATGGCCGTCTGCTGAGAAGTGCTGCTAGTGTGTTGCTAGAGACTTCTGCCGGTGTGTTTCTGGAGAGCACAAGTGGGGTATTGGCACATCGTGACGATACGGTGTGTATTCTCTTATTTGTATTTACCTCTTTGTGCTTGCGGGGGCTGAGCTCTGCTCTTTCAGCCCGCCTCTCAACTGTCAATCAATTAACTGTTACTACTATTTTTTTTCTCCACACACACACACACACACACACACACACACACACACACACACACACACACACACACACACACACACACACACACACACACACACATACCCAGGAAGCAGCCCGTAGCAGCTAACTCCCAGACACCTATTTACTGCTAGGTAATAGGTGCATCAGGGTTAAGGAAACTCTGCCCATCTGTCTCCGCCGGGTGCGGGGATTGAACCCCGGTCCCTAGGTCCTCGAGTCTAGAGCGCTGTCCACTCGGTCACCCAAACTGTGTGTGTACTGGTCCATGTTGAGGAAGGTGATCTGGCCGGTGATTACCCTTGAGCGTGGACGACGTATACTTGAAGACAATGGACTCACCGGGGTTTTAAGAACACTGTAGATATACTGAGTGTCCTGGGGTCCTGGGTGGAAGTGACACTGTACATAAGTGTAGTTAGACTTCGATAGATAATATATTGGTAAAAGTTTAATTGTGTCTTGTTTAACCCCTTGTATTCCTTGCACTATTACTTGCTACCGCCAGTTGTTGAGAACTTAACATTGACTTAGGGTGGGATTATGGAAGAATAGCCTCTAAGGCCCCGTAAGGAGAAAGAACCCAGTTACTGGCTCAAGCAGGCAGCACAACACACAGAAATTACAATAGCATGATACATCAAATTGAATAAATCCACAAGGACCGTGATGAGGGCTCGAACGTACGTCCTGGATGATCCCAGATGTGCTTTAATGGACTGCGCCACGACATAGTATAAAAATTGCAAGGAAAAAAGGTTTCAATTATTATACCATGTCGTGGCACAGTCGATTAAAGCGTCTGAGATCATCCTGGACGTAAGTTCGAACCCTCATCAAGGCCCTTATGGATTTATTCATTTTAACCATCTACCTATTGGTTCGCTGAAAACAGTCGTACTGATTCCTCAGTATTTCGCTCATTTCTTTGTTGTCACTTGTGAAAGTTCCATCTCCCTTTCGCAGGAGCCCGATACTAGATGTGGTTTTTGATCTTGATTTTGCATAGGAGAGAAAATATTTCGGATTTCTCTTTATTTCACTGATGGCCTTTTGCTCTCTTTGCCTCTCCTGGATTTTGTATGATTCTTGTAGCTTTAGCTCAATTGTTTCTATTTCTCTACCTAACCTTCTTCGCCGTTCTTAAAATAGGGTGCGACGTTCCCGTTCCAATCTGCATCTCTTCCCCTTTTTTTCTTAGGGGTATGCGGTTTGAACATATTTCTAGTGTTACTGAGCTTATTTTTTCCAGAAACTGGTTCAGGTTTGCATTTTCTAGCTGTTCTTCCCCGGGCTCGGGGAGTAAAAGAACTCCTTAAACCCTCTCCAGGTATGCTTCAGGCACAGCTCCTGGGCTCCCGTGAAGTTATTTCCGTGTGCAGATTTGGAATTAGTCGTCCTAATATTTTCCAAGTGTAAATTATTATGTACCTCTCCCAGCTGCACTCCAGAGAACACAGATTTAAAAAGTTTCAGCAGTCCATATCATTTTGTTGCTTGAGCGGATTCGAACAATAAAAGAGCTTTCAGTGTTTCCCCAAGTCAGCATTTTCTCCAGCTATAAAGGCGTTTGTTATTGTACAGCAATATTCAACCCTAACGACCACAAGTGTCTTAAAAGAGTATTATCATTGGCTGTCATCTCTTGACTGAAAGGTTTCGTTTCATCTTTTTCTTGCAATTGTGGCAGTGCACACCAGGAGTGGGGGGGGGGAGGGAGAGAGAGAGAGAGAGAGAGAGAGAGAGAGAGAGAGAGAGAGAGAGAGAGAGAGAGAGAGAGAGAGAGAGAGAGAGAGAGAGAGAGAGAGAGAGAGGGGGGGGGGGGGGGGAGTACCTGACCAACTAGATTGTGATTCACGCGTTTGGCTGCGAGCAGCTGCATTTAACAGCCTGGAGGAACAGACCTGGTCAGAGGCCGGGGCCACGGGGACGTTGACCCTTTGGACTGAAGGAACAGGTCAACAAGAGGTAGGTTCACCTGTCATCTTCACCTACTTCATGGGAGCTGACCTGGGCGCTGACCTGGGCGCTGACCAGGGAGCTGACCTGGGCGCTGACCTGGGCGCTGACCTGGGAGCTGACCTGGGCGCTGACCTGGGAGCTGACCTGGGAGCTGACCTGGGAGCTGGCCTGGGAGCTGACCTGGGAGCTGACCTGGGAGCTGACCTGGGAGCTGACCAGGGAGCTGACCTGGGCGCTGACCTGGGAGCTGACCTGGGCGCTGACCAGAGAGCTGACCTGGGCGCTGACCAGGGAGCTGACCTGGGCGCTGACCAGGGAGCTGACCTGGGCGCTGACCTGGGCGCTGACCTGGGAGCTGACCTGGGCGCTGACCTGGGCGCTGACCTGGGAGCTGACCTGGGAGCTGACCTGGGAGCTGACCTGGGAGCTGACCTGGGCGCTGACCAGGGAGCTGACCTGGGCGCTGACCTGGGCGCTGACCTGGGCGCTGACCTGGGCGCTGACCTGGGCGCTGACCTGGGCGCTGACCTGGGAGCTGACCTGGGAGCTGACCTGGGCGCTGACCAGGGAGCTGACCTGGGCGCTGACCTGGGAGCTGACCTGGGCGCTGACCAGGGAGCTGACCTGGGAGCTGGCCTGGGAGCTGACCTGGGCGCTGACCTGGGAGCTGGCCTGGGAGCTGACCTGGGCGCTGACCTGGGAGCTGACCTGGGGGCTGACCTGGGAGCTGGCCTGGGAACTGGCCTGGGAGCTGACCTGGGCGCTGACCTGGGAGCTGGCCTGGGAACTGACCTGGGCGCTGACCAGGGAGCTGACCTGGGCGCTGACCTGGGCGCTGACAATTGAGCTGACCTGGGCGCTGACCTAGCTGGGAGCTGACCTGGGCGCTGACAATTGAGCTGACCTGGGCGCTGACCTGGGCGCTGACCTGGGAGCTGACCTGGGCGCTGACCTGGGCGCTGACCTGGGCGCTGACCTGGGAGCTGACCTGGGAGCTGACCTGGGAGCTGGCCTGGGCGCTGACCTGGGAGCTGACCTGGGCGCTGACCTGGGCGCTGACCTGGGCGCTGACCTGGAAGCTGACCTGGGAGCTGACCTGGGAGCTGACCTGGGCGCTGACCAGGGAGCTGACCTGGGCGCTGACCTGGGCGCTGACCTGGGAGCTGACCTGGGCGCTGACCAGGGAGCTGACCTGGGAGCTGGCCTGGGAGCTGACCTGGGCGCTGACCTGGGAGCTGACCTGGGCGCTGACCAGGGAGCTGACCTGGGAGCTGGCCTGGGAGCTGACCTGGGCGCTGACCTGGGAGCTGGCCTGGTAGCTGACCTGGGAGCTGACCTGGGGGCTGACCTGGGAGCTGGCCTGGGAACTGGCCTGGGAGCTGACCTGGGCGCTGACCTGGGAGCTGGCCTGGGAACTGACCTGGGCGCTGACCTGGGCGCTGACCAGGGAGCTGACCTGGGCGCTGACAATTGAGCTGACCTGGGCGCTGACCTGGGCGCTGACCTGGGAGCTGACCTGGGAGCTGACCTGGGCGCTGACCAGGGAGCTGACCTGGGCGCTGACAATTGAGCTGACCTGGGCGCTGACCTGGGAGCTGACCTGGGCGCTGACCTGGGGGCTGACCTGGGCGCTGACCTGGGAGCTGCCCTGGGAGCTGACCTGGGAGCTGGCCTGGGAGCTGACCTGGGGGCTGACCTGGGCGCTGACCTGGGCGCTGACCAGGGAGCTGACCTGGGCGCTGACCTGGGAGCTGACCTGGGAGCTGACCTGGGGGCTGACCTGGGCGCTGACCTGGGGGCTGACCTGGGAGCTGACCTGGGCGCTGACCTGGGAGCTGACCTGGGAGCTGACCTGGGGGCTGACCTGGGAGCTGGCCTGGGAACTGACCTGGGCGCTGACCTGGGAGCTGACCTGGAAGCTGACCTGGGGGCTGACCTGGGAGCTGACCTGGGGGCTGACCTGGGAGCTGACCTGGGCGCTGACCTGGGAGCTGACCTGGGAGCTGACCTGGGCGCTGACCTGGGAGCTGACCTGGGGGCTGACCTGGGAGCTGACCTGGGAGCTGACCTGGGGGCTGACCTGGGAGCTGACCTGGGAGCTGACCTGGGGGCTGACCTGGGAGCTGACCTGGGGACTAACCTGGGAGTTGACCTGGGAGCTGAGCCACACTTAGGTTCAGGATCACCAACCAACCCTTTGTCAGTAATCTCCGCCAGTAATCAAAGTAATTACTTTGACCGTAATCCCCCCCCCCCCCACGATATCCTTACGAACAAAGATGGACGAGCGTCTATCCTCCATCCTTGAATAGAATAATATACGGATAACCTATTTTATATATATATACCTGAAACATACCTGAGCAGGGTTTCGGGAGTTCTTCTACTCCCCGAGTCCAGCCTGGGTCCAGGCTCGACTTGTGATAACTTGGTCCAACAGGCTGTTGCTCGGAGCGGCCCGCAGGCCCACATATCCACTAAGGTCCTACAAGGTTCCTTACTCAGATTTCTAAAGGCAGCGTTTATGTCGATTAGCCCTAGCACCTGCTGCTGATATATCTGTTGTATAGTTTCTCCATCAGTAAAACAGAAACAAGCAAAACTTAGTGGGCCCACCAGAGGCTTAGGGCCCGCGGAGGAATATCCCTGCGAAAAAAAAACTACTGAATTACCTGGCTGATATTTTTGTTGATGGGGTTCTGGGAGTTCTTCTACTCCCCAAGCCCGGCCCGAGGCCAGGCTTGACTTGTGAGAGTTTGGTCCACCAGGCTGTTGCTTGGAGCGGCCCGCAGGCCCACATACCCACCACAGCCCGGTTGGTCCGGCACTCCTTGGAGGAAACAATCTAGTTTCCTCTTGAAGATGTCTACGGTTGTTCCGGCAATATTTCTTATGCTTGCTGGGAGGACGTTGAACAACCGCGGACCTCTGATGTTTATACAGTGTTCTCTGATTGTGCCTATGGCACCTCTGCTCTTCACTGGTTCTATTCTTCATTTTCTTCCATATCGTTCTCTCCAGTACGTTGTTATTTTACTGTGGAGATTTGGGACCTGGCCCTCCAGTATCTTCCACGTGTATATTATTTAGAATCTCTCTCGTCTTCTTTCTAGTGAGTACATTTGGAGAGCTTTGAGACGATCCCAATAATTTAGGTGCTTTATCTCGTCTATGCGTGCCGTATATGTTCTCTGTATTCCCTCTATTTCAGCAATCTCTCCTGCTCTGAAGGGGGAAGTGAGTACTGAGCAGTACTCAAGACGGGACAGCACAAATGACTTGAAGAGTACAACCATTGTGATGAGATCCCTGGATTTAAAAGTTCTAATAATAAGCTTCCTAAACGTTAGGTCGTCAGACATTATTATTCCCAAATCCTTTACATGCTGTTTTCCTACTATGGGCACATTTGATTGTGTTTTGTACTCTGTATTATGTTTAAGGTCCTCATTTTTACCGTACCTGAGTACCTGGAATTTATCACTGTTAAACATCATGTTATTTTCTGATGCCCAGTCGAAAACTTTATTAATATCAGATTGAAGTTTTCCAATGTCTTCAGCCGAGGTAATTTTCATACTGATTTTTGTCATCTGCAAAGGATGATACGAAGCTGTGACTTGTATTTTTGTCTATATCTGATATGAGAATAAGGAAAAGCAGCGGTGCAAGGACTGTACCCTGAGGTACAGAGCTTTTAACTGCACTTGGACTAGATTTTATATGGTTGACCGTTACTCGCTGAGTCCTGTTTGATAGAAAACTGAGTATCCAGCGTCCTACTTTACCAGTTATTCTCATTGACTTCATTTTGTGTGCTATCACGCCATGGTCACATTTATCGAAAGCCTTTGCGAAGTTCGTGTATATCACATCAGCATTCTGATTTTCTTCTAATGCCTCAGTGACTTTGTCGTAGTGCTCAAGTAGCTGTGAGAGGCATGATCTTCCCGCTCGAAATCCATGTTGGCCTGGGTTTTGAAGGTCATTGGTCTCCATGAAATTGGTGACCTGACTCCTAATCACTTTCTCAAATACTTTTATGATGTGCGATGTTAGTGCAACTGGTCTATAATTCTTTGCCAATGCTTTGCTCCCTCCCTTGTGTAGAGGGGCTATGTCTGCTACTTTAAGTGCATCTGGTATCTCCCCCGTGTCCAAGCTCTTCCTCCACACTATACTAAGTGCCTGTGCTACAGGCACTTTGCATTTCTTTATAAATATTGAATTCCATGAGTCTGGACCTGGGGCTGAGTGCATGGGCATGTTTTCAATTTCTCTTTCAAAATTTAGTGCGCTCGTGTTTATATCAGTTATATTTACAGGGGTTTGAATACCCCGCATAAAGAAATTGTCTGGATCTTCCACCTTCATGTTGTTTATTGGAGTGCTAAACATGTCCTCATACTGCTTTTTTAGGATTTCACTAATTTCTTTTTCGTCCTCCGTGTATGAACCTTCACTTGTACGAATAGGTCCAATACTGGCAGTGGTTTTTGCTTTTGATTTCGCATATGAGAAGAAATATTTTGGATTTTTCTTTATTTCCTGAATTGCTTACTGTTCTAACTGCCTTTCTTCAGTTTCATATGAGTGTTTCAATTTCCGCTCGATTTCTTCAATCTCCCTATTTAAATTATTCCTTCTTTGACGGGAAATTCGTGTCTGCATAAGCAGTTCCATTATTTTTTTCCTGCGTTTATAGTGTCGTCTGCGTTCTCTTTCTACGTTAGATCTCTTTCTGGCTTTCCTCAAAGGAACATGATTCAGACAGACTTGATACGCTTCTGAAGTCAGTTTTTCTATTCCTTCTGTAGGATTTATATTACTTAAAACAGTTCCCCATGGAATGTTTGTAAGTTCCCTGTTTATTATCTCCCAGTCTATCCTTTTATTATTAAAATTGAATTTACTGAATAGCCCCTCTCGCTTTATCAACGTTTTAGGTCTATTCTGAGTATTGATGGTCGTTTGCACTTCAATGAGTTTGTGATCTGAGTATGTGGTATCTGATATCGTAATGTCTCTAATAATGTCTTCATTGTTCGTAAAGACCAGATCTAGAATATTTTCATTTCTCGTTGGCTCCGATATCTGCTGATTGAGTGAAAATTTGTCACAGAATCTGTACGAACAGGTCCAATACTGGCGCATCTTGTTACTCATTCCAGCTTCTTGACGTTTGTGGGTACTGTGTCAAAAACTTTATGGCAATTCAGAAATATGCAGTCAGACCTCCTCTCTCTCTTGTGTGAGTTATATCGCTCCGTTATGTTATTCTGTCGTGCTTGTGGGCGTTTGTTCTGACCTCACATACACGTCCACACGCCCACGTCCACATACTAGTTCTCACAAACTCACACATGTTTTTGCTTTATAAATGAGACTGCTCATAGCCCAGACGATAGAGTTCTCACCCTGGGAGGGGTCTCCCACCCTGGGAGGGGTCTCTCACCATGGGAGGGGTCTCTCACCATGGGAGGGGTCTCTCACCATGGGAGGGGTCTCTCACCATGGGAGGGGTCTCTCACCATGGGAGGGGTCTCTCACCATGGGAGGGGTCTCTCCATCCTGGGAGGGTTCTCTCCACCCTGGGAGGGGTCTCTCACCCTGGGAGGGGTCTCTCACCCTGGGAGGGGTCTCTCACCCTGGGAGGGGTCTCTCACCCTGGGAGGGGTCTCTCACCCTGGGAGGGGTCTCTCACCCTGGGAGGGGTCTCTCACCCTGGGAGGGGTCTCTCCACCATGGGAGGGGGTAAACAAACCCGTCTTCCTCCGTAAACACGGGCTGCAGTTTTCGTGCCTCTTCCCCGCTGATATTTTACCATCAAAACGTCTTCATTCTAA